CTAAAATATTGATAATAGCAAAAAAAGTTGATTTTCCGATTATTAGACAAAATTCATCTGTTTATTCTTCTCATTATTATTATTCATATTATTCTTGTTTCACAAGCCAATAGAATATTTTTTTCGTACCTGGGCAAATTTACTAAAATAGTCATTGAACTATTTTCATGTTGATTCTCGAATGAGAAGGAGAGATTTTATCAGTTTTTTCATCGCTACTGGCCAAGTTTCTCTTCGAAGCCATTCAAGCACCAACGCCTACAGCAAAAATGGCTAGGTATACTGCGCCAAAATCTATGCACAGCTACTATACAAACTCCTGTGGAGGTTGTAGAGTTATTGTTAATTTGATTCTTGAAAATCGAAATTTCCACTCTCTAAAGTTCTTCTTCGTTACCAATATAAGCTCTTCATATCCATTCAAGTATAGCAGAAATGTAGAAGCCATTTAAACATCATTATATTAGTCAGAAACGTTTCGTTTTATTAGAGTAAACAAAGTGGATATTTATAACAGAGTTTCTAGCCTTATTTTATTATTGATTATAGTTTTAAAAGCTGCTACAGAAAAAACAGCTACAAATATTTTTTGAAACCTGGACAATAGTAACGATATTCAATATGTTAAAAGGTAATTTTATAATTAATTCAAGCACCTTCATTTTTTTGCCCTGAAGAATTTCTCTAAGTCCTTCACTTTCCGCCATTGAAAACATCCGATGTTTTACTAATGTGTATTAAATGGAAAATAATTTGTGCAACTTAAAGCGCATTAATTGGAAACTGCCACTTTGAAGTTTCACCATTTCTCGAGTTCACCGTTCTTCATTTTTTCTCGAGTTCGTTGTTGTGCTTTGTCTCTACGTGGTTTTCTGCGACTATTTCAGTGAGTTTTCTAACAGTACTTATCAATTTTATTGAAGTCAAGGTAGGGACATGTAGCTTGAGTAAATAATGTAGACCATATTTCCAGCTTAGTTTGTTTACTTTTTTTATCTTTGCCTTTTGATTCAACTTGTTTCTGTACTTTTTTGAGGATCTCTGTTTCCCTTTTTAAATTAACAATTTTTGATAATCTTGTTTAAGTAGATTTAAAAACTAAGTTGAATAGTTGTATAGTATTTTATTCTTTTCTACAATTAGTGTTGTCTTTTTTATGAGGTGTAATCTCAAAATACCGAATGATCTTCTGTCAATTTACATTTTCTCTTAGGTCTGGCATGTCTTGGTGGTTAGGGTACTCGACTCGCAATCTGCGGGTTGCAAGTTCGAATCCCGTTACCGAACATTCCCATCTTTACAGCCGAGGGAGCGTTATAAAATGACGGTTAATCTCAATATTCATTGGTAAAGAATAGCCCATGTTACGTATTACAGTTTACAATAGCCTAAAACTGAGTTAAATTGTACTTTGGATTTAGTAGTTAAATAAATACCAATATGTATCCAATTTATTATGTTTGCAAAAAGATTGATACACACAGTTTTCTTTGTTTTATACAAATATGTTTTAATATACAAACAACAACACAATTTACAATAACGGTTATTAGAAATAGTTATTACAAACAATGATTTATATACAAATGTTTAACAAACTTACAAGCAATATGAAATCTTCTTTCTATTCTGAAACGTCCTTGATGTCTTATCGAGGGTTCACGATGGGCGAGTTAATTTCGAGCTGATGT